TTATCATTGTCTTTTCTTAGTGAACTTTTCCTTCATCCTAATTATTAAGGAATTTTTACAAAGAGATGGAAAATGTTCAAAACTGGCTATAGATGGTATAATTCCATTGAACTATACTCAAATTCTTAATAATGATTGAGATTGGTCGATTTTTCACAACTGTTATCTTTGAAACAGTGATTTCATCCAACCACTCTTTACTAACAACTCCATGGACTGGCTCAAACCCGTTGTAAAATTAAATTAAACTTTCTTAAATGAGCTTGGTGTGGCTCAAACCCGGTGTGCTTACGTAAAATTCAATCGGAATACAATTTTAACTGGTATTCTGGCAAAGAGCCAACATTTTCACAATTAAACTTTCTTACTGAACTTTGAATATTTCACATAGGTAGGAATTTTTTCAAGTAGATGGAAAATGTTCCAAAATCGATAGAAATGGTACCAGTCCTTTACAGTACACTTAAATTCTCAAAAATGATTGAGATCAGTCGATTTTTCACAACTGTAATCTTTAAAACAGTGGTTGTCATCCAACCCGATGTAACAACTACTATTAAATGTTTCAAATGAGCTTGGAGTTGCTCAAACCCGTTGCTTCTTTTCAAAAAAGAGACTTATCCAACCTTTTGAATGAGACTGTATTATACTATACAACAAATTAAAATTTTTATATTCTTACTGAACTTTTCTTACTTCACAATTATTAAGGAAGTTTTACAAGTGGTTGGAAAATGTTCAAAACTGTATGTATATGGTAACATTCCATTGGAGTATACTTAAATTCTAAGAAATGATTGAGATTGATCGATTTTTCACAACTGTAATCTTTAAAACAGTGATTGTCATCCAACCCGCTTGTGGACTTGTGGAACAAATTGAAATTGTTTCAGATGAACGTGAAGTGGCTCAAACCCGTTGCTTCTTTTCAAAAAAGTTCCTGATCGAGCAATGTGATGAGGCTGGAATATACTATTCAACAAAGTAAATTGTTTGCAATCTTACTGAACTTTGAATATTTCAAAATTATTAAGGAATTTTTTCAAGTAGATGGAAAATGTTCTAAACTGTATGTAGATAGTAACATTCCATTGGAGTGTACTCAAAATCTCAAAAATGATTGAGATTTTCCATTTTTTCACAACTGTAATCTTTAAAACAGTGATTGTCATCCAACCCGATGTAAAAACCACTTGAAATTGTTTCAAATGAACGTGGATTGGCTCAAACCCGTTGATTATATTCATGAAAGTGGATTTCAGACCTTTTGACAATTCCTTACAATAAGGAACTATAAGTTTATGAAATATTTCTATCTTAGTTGGGTTTGGTTAGGATTCAGAGTTGATTTATTTGGGTTATTTAAGAGATTACTTAGTGAAGATTCATATCATTGATTATATTTCTTATCATCTATTAATGATGTAAATTTGATGGTTTCATTTCTTGTATTGATAGATATTTAAAGGTCAGGTCAGTATCAACTTTTGAATTATGGACTTTTAGAAGTCAAATGTTTGGGACGTGAATCTACTCATTAGATTGAATAGGTATTGCTAATAAAGGAACATTTCATTGATTTATTGATTATAACGGTCAAATTGAGTTGAATGGAAGTGAATCAGATGTTGATTCATCGTGGTTGGGTAGTTTCGCCACGTAGTGGTGCAACTACCAACCTTTGTAGATTTAATCAGGTTGATTTGCATGCAATATGAATAAGTAACATTATCAAGAGTGATTATTCACCAATTCAATAATCAATATTCAATAATCGGTTTGATTTCAATCAATACCTTGATCAACAAATCAAGATTCCAGTAATTAACGGCAGTCTATTTTTAAATTTAATCAAAGACCATATATAGTAGCTTGACTTTTATGATATGGAAACTATCTAGATGTGTTCTATATTGAATAATCTATTTGAAAATGAGATGAATTAACTCTTCTATTGAGTTTTATTGGTATTGTATGCTATTACGATTATAATAATCTACACAGAAATCACTCTTGAAATATAAACTGTAGTAGAACGTTTGAGAAACATAATGGTGGCGGAATTAACCAATAACTCGTTGAAATGACTGAGATGGAATGTAAACTATGGTCTATTTGTCATGTAATGGTGACTAGACCGTGTCAATTTCATCAAATTATTTCAAACTGATTACAATCAATAAAAACCCGTTCCATACATATCATATAGAATGAGTTTCAATATTTAATATTGTGAACTGACTCTGTTGGATACCATCTCTATAAATATAACAAGATGAAAAGTGTCAACATTCAATTACACATGCATCTAACTATGGAGAATCATCATTATATCATCTAGATAGGTAATATTTCAAGTTTCAGTGGAATTGACTGTCTACATATTGAGATGTGTATACTAGGTTGGGTTTGGTTAGGATTCAGAGTTGATTTATTTGGGTTATTTAAGAGATTACTTAGTGAAGATTCATATCATTGATTATATTTCTTATCATCTATAAATGATGTAATTTTGATGGTTTCATTTCTTATATTGATAGATATTTAAAGGTCAGGTCAGTACTAACTTTTGAAATATGGACTTTGAGAATTCAAATGTTTGGGACGTGAATCTACTCATTAGATTGAAAGGGTATTGCTAATAAAGGAACATTTCATTGATTTATTGATCATAACGGTCAAATTGAGTTGAATGGAAGTGAATCACATGTTGATTGATCGTGGATGGGTAGTTTCGCCACGTAGTGGTGCAACTACCAACCTTTGTAGATTGAATCACGTTGATTTGCATCAATCTTCAATATGTATCATTATCAAGAGTGATTATTCACCAATTCAATGATCAATATTCAATAATCGGTTTGATTTTCAATCAATAACTTGATCATCAAGCTTTGAATTAATATTCCAGTAATCAACGGCAGTCTATTTTTAAATTTAATCAAAGACCATATATAGTAGCTTGACTTTTATGATTTGGAAACTATCTAGATTTGTTCTATATTGAATAATCTATTTGAAAATGAGATGAATTAACTCTTCAATTTAGTTTATTGATATTACTATATAAATGGTATTATTTCTTACAGAGTCTTCCACAGAACTCACTCTTGAAATATTAATTGTACTAGAGCGTGTGAGAAACATAATGGTGGTGGAGTTAATCAATAACTCTTTGAAATGACTGAGATGGAATGTAAACTATGGTCTATTTGTCTTGTAATGGTGACCTGACAGTGTCAATTTCATCAAATTATTTCAAATTGATTACATTCAATAAAAAACCGTTCTATACATCAAACATGTCATATAGAATGAGTTTCAATATTTAATATTATGAACTGACTCTGTTGGATACCATCTCTATAAATATAACAAGATGAAAAGTGTCAACATTCAATTACACATGCATGTTACTATGAAGAGTCATCATTATATCATCTAGATAGGTAATATTTCAAGTTTCAGTGGAATTGACTGTCTACATATTGAGATGTGAATACTAAGGCTGATGAAGTGTCACCTTCACTGATTACTGACATGAGAAAGACAATTGAATATATTATTCTTGTATAAATAATTCATTTATCAACGATTTTGATATGATGGTAAAATTTAATT